TGCAACTTAACTTATGCTAAATAAAGAGCATATGTTCTACGAATCTCACCATTAGCCGGAGGTTTAAACAAACAATTCGGTAGGAATGTAATAACACATGCATAAACCTTTCCAAAAACCCTTATCTGATCAAGTTGGGGTGAGCCTTTTATCGAAATATTCAGATATTCTGCGTAATAAATGCCAAAAATAATAGATTACCTGGTGTTTCATAACACGGTTCCCACATTTGATTATCGGATGTAACACAAACGTTACCTTTAATTAATACAACTTTTGCTTTACCATTAAAATAGATATCAAATAACTGAGAGGAAACAAATGAGATAATATTACACCATATCAATGCTTACACTTTCTGAATCTTTCAAAATGATCAAAGGGTCGGTTTTCTCTACCGGCGTTGAGACAATTCTAGAACATGTACTATTGGGCAAAGTTAAGCTCCCTTTTCCCAAGGAGGCGTTTATAAATAGAGAAATTAAAACTAATGAAGAGTTAATCATGGGCCCATTTATAGCAATTTTGCATTTCACATCCTCTATATATATATCACTTTCCACCAATTGGATTAAACAAAATAATCCGTAAGGCCATTTATAATCAGCAAAGATTCGATTAGGATAAATATCAGAGTTTAAGCGAATAGTTATTGATCTAACAATAAAAAGTAAATTCAATGATAATCAAGTTTTAATTTGCTCAAAAAATTTGAATTAACTGAAAAAAAACGTCAAATATTATTGAACCCGAAACCATCATGATGAGTTGAGTTATTTAAAAAAAACGTTTACCAAAAATTGGGTATTTCTCTGTTGTTTAAGAGGTTACCCAGGAATTTGGATTGCGTTGGCCATCACTTTGATAGTTGATATTCGAGATGAACTTGTCGAAGGAAGTCCGTTTAGCTTGTAAGATGGCTTGCCTTAGGACAGCCGACTGTCGTCTCCAGGCTTGTGCGTCTTCTGTTCTTCCAGTCTGATCAGCAGTGTTGCGAAGAGTGTCCCGATTTGTTTTCAGTTCCTCAAGGTGTTTAGACCAAAACACTCGATAGTGTTTTGTTTTGCCTCGGGGAATAGTTTTCTTTGTACATCTGATCATAATATTCGTGATAGCAGTGCAAAGTTTGTCAGGATGTTGGTTGAAGTTGAAGGGACTTGAAAGAAGTTCATATTCTAAAAAATTTGTGAATCTAGGCCAGTCAGCCTTCTTGAAGTTCCATGATAGCTTAGTTGGCACTTTCCTTGACATGCTTTTGCTGCCGATGGTAATACTAGCAATGACTGTTTAGTGACCAGAACCAGTATCGTCAATTATTTTGTGAC